ATTTAATTCAGTCATATAGATTACATATAGATCTCTGGCACAGTTTTGGCTGCCTGATGCATCTATGTGGCAGAGTGTTCAGGCGTGACTTTTTACATGCTCATGTCATAATGAGACTTCACGGACTGAATAGGGTAGAGGAAGTATTCCCTGGGCAGAAGTGGTCTTTCCCCTCCCTTTGCTGGGAAATTTGTGAGACAGGCAGGTTTTGCTGCAGCTGTTCAGACGTGATGTTAGTTTTTTTGTGTGTAATGCCCTTGGCACTGTTTAAGGGATTATGTTTTTGAAAGGCAAGTGTCTTCAGAGAGTTGTAGGCTCACAGATGGCTCCATCTTGTCTTCCAGTTGGCAAGCAGCCTAGGAATAAGTATCAAAATAATTTTTAATACAGCAAAGAGAAAGGCTTGCCAATGTTTGTACAGCCAATAAAAAGCCTCAGTAATAAAGATTTTGTGAAATAACTGCAGTAGATCAAAGTGACATTTAAGTGATGCTCATGAGCATCATTTAATTGCCAGCTAACTACTAAAGGCCTGCTGCTGAGGAACAATTGGAGTTCCTGTGCTGTTCTGCTTTATTGTATCTGTCTTGCTTAAGGCTCTGACCATCACCAAAGTTTGTAATTTCTCTCTCTCTGTAGAGAGATATTGCACAGATATCAGTGTGTGAGTGATGGATGCTTAAATGCTGTTTGAAAACTTATTTATTTCTAGTATTGAACTTTATTCTGAATTTTATTTATAGAAAGTGAGCTGTTTTCAGCTTCCAGGATGGGATGAAACTATTGTTTGCTAACTTCTACTGACTCCTTTATGGAGTTATAAATCAGAGAAGTTGCTTTCTTGCAAGGTTGTCTGCATCTCCACAGATGAAACTCTTGAACTTCTGTTGTGGGTATAGTAACTAGTGAAATACTGCAAATCCTGAGACATGTATTTAAATCTTAGAAGTATGTTAGGATAGTTTGGGTTCAAGGGAACCTCAGATGATATCTGATCCAATTCCCTGCTGAAAGCAGGACTGACTCTGGGGTTGTGTCAGGTTCCTCAGAGCTTTTATCTTGTTGGGCCTTGAAAACCTCCAAGGATATTACAACCTCTCTGCTTCACTTCTTGGCTGCCCTCAGGGTGAAAAAGTTTTTCTTTGTATCCAGTTTCCTATTTTTAGTTATGCCCATCTCTTTCTTGTCCTGCCTCTCTGCACTGCTGTGTATGGATTGCTGTCATCCTCGCTATTGTTATGTGCCTTCTTCAGAGCATTGCTACTAGTAGAGGGTAATTAGTGTAGTTTCTAACATTTTAGAAGTCTTGGAGTGCACACTTGCATTCTTTGATTTGCTTCCCTTCCTACAGCATAAAATAGCACTGTACTTACTGAGATTTACTGTTGCTGCAAATGTGTCTTTATACCCAAAGAGGGCATTCTAACCTTAAAAATGTTCTTAGTTCTGCCTTGCTGGCTTTCTCTGGTACAGTCCTTGCTTATGACTCAGACTTTAAGGTAATTTAAGACATTTCATATGTTTTTGTTCAGTGGAGCACTATGACAGTTTTATTGCTCAGAAATGAAAATCTCAGTCTTCTCAATATCTCTCATGGTTTTGTTGTCACCTCTTTGTTTTTTAAGGCTAGTCATGCAAGGTGTTCCTGCTCACAGAGGGATGGAGAGAGAGGATGCTTTCTAGGTTGAGCAACTATGGCAAGTACGTTCAAAATACTGTGAAAATACTGTTTTCCTTTCTGCCTAGTCAAGAAAAGATTTTAAAGGTTTCCAACATAAAAAGGTAGCACTTTTTCACTCAGTTGTTAAAGGAGCCTGTCAATTAACTATCTATGTCTATAGACTATCTTAGTGGATTTACTTGACACAGATATTTTATAAACCTATTTTCCAGTCTCAGATCTCAGCCTTGTTTAGATTTGGAGTACAAAAATTTAGACAGGTGCAAGTTGTCATAGTGAGTGTCCTCTAAATATGATGTTTGTATTTGCTTCATATTCCTGGTGAAAAATGTAAGTTAAACCTGAGGTTTCCAATAAAAATTCACCAGACCGAATAGCATTATTGCAGGATATCTGCCTCAAGGGGACCTACAACTCTAAGGTTTGATAGCTTAGATGATATAAAGATAAAATTCTATCTGAGTGCTGCTTTTAAATGTCCAACCTTTTCCATGAAGACAGGAGTTTTAAAGGTACAAAGCTTTAGGTGTATTCTGATAGTGAAAATACTTAGCTGTCTTTCAGGAGTCCTGTGTTAGTCCTTTGTTCTGTCTTGACCATGCTTTGTGGCTGGCATGAAGTTATGTAGTTTCTCACATAGTCTTCTTCAACCACAAAGCAAATGCATCAGATTACTGCTGTACCAAAGAACTCATGAGATCAAATCTCTGCAATTGCTTTGCTTTCCTGGAAAGGAAGCTACAGCAGTTCTGCCTGCTGCTTCTTAATAATAATACTTGTCAGGAGTATTGTGTGTAAACCTGAAAGAAGCAGAAGAAATTCCTAATTACACAGGGACCTATCCCATATACCTGAAAGGGATATGCAAATATGAGCTACCTCACACAGGACCCTGTTGATCCTGGATTATGAATTCAGGTTTTCTAAAGCAAATAATACTGCTTTAGAATTGGAAGTAATGAGTTAACAATCTGTATTTATTCTGGAAAACTATCTGAATGACACTCAAAGTTTTCCTTTGCCAAGCTTTTTGTTGCTGAAGCAGATCTGTTCAGGTGTGTGTGTGTTTGATGCCATATGGTACATTCAGCACCTTCTTTATCCACTTAAAATGCTAAGATGGATCTGGAATATGTTGACCTGCAAAACTGTTCACTGGCTTATTCTTTTAATACAGAGAATATTTTTGAGAGGTATGATTTTTGTGTTGACTTTTTTTTTTTTGTTTTAAACTTGAAGTGTTTTGCTGAAGACTTTGTTTCAGTGCAGTATCCTGCAAAGTCCCTGGACCCATGAAACAGGCTGTGTCATATAGGGGGACAATTTCTTTGAGGATTAATGCTGTGCTTTCATTTACTTTGATATTAAAAGCAGATGGGTAAGGTTCAGTGAAAGGTGGGAGATACTGTGTGTTTGTACTCGGGTAGTAGTACTTATGTGAATCACAAACTGCATGTGACAGAAATATGTTAAACTTCTGGCAGAAGTCTGTGCATTTATTAAGCAGCACAGACGTGTTAGTAAGAGTAGCCTGTATTATTAGCTAATGTATGTTAGCCCAGGGACAATGTCAGAGTAAATTGTGACAGGTAATTGTCTTGATTTCCTAGACATGAATAGCAGTGATTTACAGTCAGGGGAAAGAAGCTCTCACAAGAGTGTTTTCCTTGAGATGATCTCTGAGGGGATGAATGGAGTCAGTGTGTCTTTAGAGTAAGGTTTGGTTTAGATTGTCATACAAACTCTGTGTGCTGTGAAAGATGTAAAAGAAACCCTCAGCCAAAAAGCTGAGCAACTGGAGGGGAGCAATGAAATTAATGAACACTGCTGGAGTGGGGCTGGGCTTCTTTTAAATGCACCTGGGGAAGCCCAGAAAATTCTGAGGGCTGCTGATGGCCAGTATAAAGCAGGAAGGCTCTCTGCCTGGGAAGGGATGGGGTGGGCTGGGGAGGTGGGGGGCATGGAAGCTCATATGAGGAGGATTTCCGGGGGTAAGTTGAGGTTTGTTTGCTCTTGAGAGAGAAATGCTGTTAGGGGAGATGGAGGGAGGCTTGTGCATTGGGGTCGTGACCAAAAGGAAAGATTGGAAAGGAACAGAGAGGCAGAATTGTGGAAATTAGTATTGGGAAAGAGAGTATCTCTCTTTGGCTTGGAACACTCTTCGGGAGCTTTGTGGTTATTGTTCTAGACTGTGAAGTGTGAACCTGTCCAGAGTTTTTGTCAAAGCTCCAGAACAACAATTGGAAAGATTCTGGGTCAACTCTCTTTTTCACTTGAGGAGAAATGAGCCCTTAGTTTGGAAGGAGTAACTGGGCAGTGATGATTGAAATGCAGTGACAGTGGAGGCAGGGTTTGATGGCAACGGCAAAAAGCATGTGCAGTGTTGGTACTAGCAGAGTTGGGATGGAGACAAAAATGAGTGAATGACACTCAAAGTAGATTCATTAGTGTTGGTGATGTCCTCCCTCAGTCTAGGGTCTGACTGGCTGCTGCTTGACTGTATTCCTTGATCCTTGTCTGCTTTAGGAGGTGTGTGAACAGGCTTTAGTGCTTTGGAGTCCTTGGTCTGCAGTCCTGGTGTGAAGTGCATGGGTTACTCTCAGCTCCTGCCTGAAGCTGAGCAGGCAGTTGCTTGGATATCCGTGTTCCTGCCATACCTGATGATGTGGGAAGTTTGGCCTCTAATGCCAGGGCTCCTAATTGGAGAAGTATGGAGAACTAGCTGTCTAGTGCTGATGGGTGCCTCCTTTGAGTGCTCTCCAGCTGTGTAGTGAGGCCTTCTCAACCTCTGTATTGATAGCTGTTGTCCCTCTGTGCTGCCACATCTGCTAAATTCTGTAGTTCAGTGCAATTACCTTCTAAAGAGAAACTATTCTTTCCTGGAATGTTAATAATAAAAAAAAAAATTGAAAGATATCTGACTTGCTCTAGGCAGAGTGACTTCTGACCCACTCTATTTAGAAGGAGCTCTGATTGCTAGTAGTGCTCTTGCCTGTGGTTAGTATTCAGCTGCTGTTTCAGCAATCTCTGCTGTAGTATTTCTTCCATACCCTGTTCATAGATAATCTCAGAATTTCATCTGAACAACCTACTTTTCTCCTCTGTGCTAGAGGAAAAGGATATAGCTGACGTCTTCACTTTTGTGTTCTGGGGCCCAGTAAAACAAACTTCCAGCTTCTGTTTTGTCTGTCTGGAGCCTTGGGTAAGGGTTGTAAAGGCCAAGCCATATTCTCAGTGAGGATCTCAAAAGGGATATCATGTGTGTCTTTCCCACTTGCCAGGGAAGGTCTCCAAGGGAGCTGCACTCTGCTTGCTGGAGCACAGTTTCACCCCTCCCAGGCTGTAACATCTGCAGGCTGATGATGCTGAGCAGTCTGCTGGCATTTGGTAAGGACTTGCACTGACTGAAGCTGCTTGTGCAGGCGTTGAGGAAGGGAGGGCGGTGCTGCAGGCTGTGCCTCGTGGGGCCACTGGAGGATCTTCATCTCGCCCCTCGGAGCAGCAGGTTATTGTCACCTGCCAAAGGTACAGCTCTCACAATTGCTGCTGCAAAGAGCAAAGAATTCCTGAGTGCAGAAATTCTGTTAGAGCTTAAGGAGCTGCAGGGCTTCATGTAAAGCCCAGAGGTTTTGTTTTTGGGGGAGCAGGGGGAGGGAGCAGCACCACTTTGCTTTTCTCCTAGCTATGAGTCGACCTCGTGTCCTGTGCATTGCTGTAACTGCAGTTTGTGTTCGTGCCTGGCTTTTGCACTGTCTTGTATTTAATCTGCATCCTGAGGTGCTGTGCTTTCTGTGGGAGTTTGGGACTCAGCTTTCCTGGTGTCGGAGCTCCATTCCGTCTCTGTTCTTCCCTAGACAGCATGGACATTGCATCTGACAGCCTGTCTGGGGCTACAAGGTGAACTTCCTTCAGCAGACAGAGGAGGAGCATTTGTCCTGGGACTTTGATATTAAATTATAAAGCTAAAAGCCTTCTGACTCCTCACCCTTGGCAATATAGGAGCTGCCACGTTGTTTTATTTTCATTATATGTGATCACTACTGAGCTGTTAAGAGAAAATTACTTTCTATTTCAGTGAACTCAATTCTGGTTTCAGACTGACTGTGCATCAGATGCTTAATTTGGAACCCACTCTCTTGGTGAAATTAAAAATTCAAATCTCCAAGCTGGAGCATTCAAACTGTGCTTGAATTAGAAATTGACTGCTGTCAATGTGCTCTCACACTTCACTTTTTTTTAAAAATTCCTTCATCCCCTCCCCCCTGATGAGTTTTATATTAGAGTCTTGCTGTAGATGATCTGACTGAGCAGAAGTAGTGGGAATCCACACTGTCACTCTGTAGACAGAGTGATGAAAGAGAAGTGTGGTGTGTTAAGTAGACCATTTTTGAAAAGGACTGCTGTGTGCTGATTTCATAGTTTCACAAGTGTTTGGTGGAATGATTTTATGGGATATGACTGCAAACTCATTAAGTGTTGTTTGCAAATTAATTTATGACCTAAGAAAACTACACAGTTACTATGCAGCTCCTTGCTCCCCTATTTCTGTGTAATATTTAAAGCTGTTGTCAGATCTTGACTAAAAGAATCAGTGTTCTCTCCACTTAAAACATTTGCATGGACTGCCTCTACAGACTTTTGTATTGAAAGTGAGAACAAAAGAGTTATTCCCCGGGAAGAACAACAAAACTTACACCCACACCCCACCTCCTGAAATAAGTTGTGAATATGCTCTGTAGGCTTGCAACTTGTGTGTCCATCTGCCTCTTTGGAAAGCGGATAAATTATTCTCAATAACTTAACTGTAAGTTTGCCCACAGGTTTGATAAAAATTGGGCTGGATATTTTTGGAGAAGTGTCTTCTGTTATTCACTATGCTGAAGGCACCCACTGCTGGTACTGGATTGTTTTCCAGACCTGCTTGTGTTCATCCTTGTGGTGTTTTGTTGTTGGTCAGATGGGCTGACAGGATGGATCCCTGAGCTGGGTGCAGGGTTAGTGATGATGACTGGGGAGCCTGTGAGCTGTTCTGTCAGGCAGCTGGTGGCGTGAGTTTGGCAGTTCTAGCTGGCCAAGGCAGGTATCAGTGCGTTGTTGGGTGAAATACATCCGTGAATTGTGTAAGGAGTTTTGGAGAATGATTGGGTTGAGGCTGATCAACTGGAGATGAATTTGGAAAGTGAGTTCTAGTAACAAATGTGTAATAAGGGAAAGGGTGATTTCTCTTATTCCCCTGACTAAATAGGTGATTGTTACTGACATGGGAAATGTTTGTTATTTACCAACTTACTTTTTGGTAGGCTTTTTTTTGTTTTCTTTCTTAGTGTTAAGGCTAGATCAGGTTTAAACTGGTTTTTTATTTCTTGAGGTGTGAAAAATTTAATATCAGCTGATGTGATTCTAATTCTAGAGAGAAGTGCTGTAATTTCATCAAATGGCATAAAATGAGTTGTTGCATTAAGGAGGTAAGTGGCTTGATTGTGACAACTCAATGACATGCATTATGGGAGTGTGTCAATAAAAACACAATTATTTAAACCTTGGCTAAAGAAGAGCATTCTGACTTTTACAGTGCTCTACTCTTTGAAGTGCTTTTTAGTAGAGAATGGAAACTGATGCGCATTTAATGACCTCAGAGGATATGTTATTTGCCACATTTTGGAAATCTGACAGTTGAGTAACTGAACCCAGTCTGTGACCCTAGAAATCACAGGAAGCTTTGGTGAGGAAATAATTATTATTATATCCAATGCAATGTAACTTAGCAATGTTTCCCTCTGTAGTTACACTTTATAAAACTTCAGGTAAACCACAGTTACAGTTAACACTCAGTAGGTGAGATGAGAAAGCCAAGTGAGACCTTTTCATTTTAGGAGTTTCAAATAAAGATTTTCGTAAGTGACTTTCTTTTAAAGCTTATTTGTGCGAAGAGGTGATACTTGTTTGTTTCAACATAGGCTGTGTTGAGATCAGTGCTATCTTATTTTGCATATTTAGTGTGTCTTTGAAATTCAGTAAATGAGTCAAACTGGAACTGATCAGGAACTTGCAACATTGTACATATTTCTGTGACATAGGAGCTGAACTGTAATGGTTATGGTCATGTCAGATTAATCTCCAAAAATGGTTCATTTTTGCTTCTGATAGGTTAAACATTTATGTGTATATGTTATTTGTAAATAATAAATATTTGGAACTCAATTACTTTGTTTGTGTATAGTTTGATGCAGGTGTTATGAGCTTCTTTAAGAGAAGAAGCACTACAGAAATTGCTTGGAGCAGTACTTTAATAGTTGCCTTTGAATATGACCAAATACCTTTTCTTCCACATCACAGTTACCAGCCACAAATGCTCTGAAGATGAATTTGTTATTCTAATAAAAATGAACTGTGTATAATATAGGTGTATTCAGATAGCTGAGCTACCTTTAAAACTGTATCTATAACTTCTCGCTTTCAGGGAGAGCTTAAATGATCTTGCAAGCATTCTGCATCATATGCTTAAAGCAGCAGTGAGGAGGTGATCATGTCAGAGTTTCTGTACTGATCTATAAAATTCTATTGGAATAACAAAAACGTAAGGTATTTATGCCTTTTCATCCACAGATGCTATTAGAACATTTGGTCATTTGTGGCTGAGAACAAAGACTGATGATCTAAAATAAATTAGATGACTGTTCTGCTCTCCTTTGGTGTCAGGTTGGGTACAAGAGAATGTGCTCTTTCCATTGGTGGGAAATGCTTTTAGGCTTCACCTCTCCCTCTTTCATCTCACTTGGTGTGACTAAGATGTGAACAATGTTACTTTACAGCAATAGACTATTTTCTTTTTCCCTCTGCCTTAGATCTGAACTGCTATTGTACATGAAATGTTGATCATCAGGTGTTGGAGATGTTTTCAGGGATGGCCTAGAAGGCAGCTGTGAGGAGCAGGTTCTCACAGCCTGTTTCTGTGAACAGCAGAGGTTCTCAGGTTATTTTTAACTACAGGTAAAAGTGGCAAACATGAAGGCCTTGAGAGCCTTGCACATCAGAGTTCTCAGGCAGCTTTCTCATAACAAGTGGATGTTCTATCTTNTTTCTCATAACAAGTGGATGTTCTATCTTTGGCTGTTTTGGGAAAGCAAGAATAATTTTGAGAACCCAAATCTTGGTATTGGAAACATAAGGAGGAGTTGGTGTGTTATCTCTGGCCTGTTGTGAGCTCAGATTTTGCAATATGCATGAACTTGATTAACACTGTTATAAAAGGTGACTGATTGATCAATAAAGTGGAGTCGATGCTGACCAACACAAGGTGGGTCGTCTCCCCTCCAACTTCAATAATCAGGAAAGATTTCTATGGTGAAAGAGCGGTTAAGAATATTTCTGAGCTTTCATAATTGAATTAGAAGTGATTTGCACGTAGCTGCCATTAAATATTTGTTATATAATCTAAGATTGTAAAATATATATTTTAAAAAATTGATTTTTAATATTACTATTGAAAGGCTTTTCCATTTGTGGCTTTTCTCTTTCTAAATGTGTGTCTCACCCAATGCATAACACATTGTAGAGTAAGGTTTTAAAATTGCCTTTGGTTGTTTTGATTCTGTTAATTTTGTAGTTAATTGTGAAGAGTTGTTTGATGCTCTTCAAACTGAGGTAAGATGAGAAGAATTTAAGGCCTGTCTGTATTTTTTAATAAGCCAGCTGAATTGGTTCAGTGTAATTTCTCTGACGTGCAGACAAGGCAAGCTATGGTTGGAAGGCTATGCAGAAAAAGTTTATAGAACTGTATTTCAGATATGTAATAGTAAACAAACTGAAGTGATTGTAATCTTGAGAGCAGGGACATGGCACAAGGTAAACAGTCCCCAAACAGTCCACCCAAGGCACTAGAACCTTCCTGGCTGGGCTTTGTGATGGCTGAAGGTGCTGTGGGTGCTCTCTACCTGGACCTGGAGATCAGGCTTCCCCTTATGCTTTGGGGAAGGTGTGAGTGTCCATGTTCATGTCAGTCCCAGTTCTGTCCGCTCTGCTCTGCGCTTAGGGGTGAAGGACCTGCAGCTCTCTCCCCGTAGCATCCTCTGGATGGCTCTTGGCTTGGCCTAGCTCTAATCCTGATTAGAACTTGGGCAGTGGAACTCTGCTCTGGTATCCAGGTGAGCGGTTTGTGCCACTGGATGGACTCACCAGGAGATAGACGTGGAGTCCATGAAGGAACAGAATGCCAAACCTGTCTGGGCCACCTGTGAACCTTGTGAGGAACACAGAGATGCCTGGGCTGTGTGCGATCTCATTCAGTACATTGGAATTGTACCCTTTTTGGCTGCAATAATTTTTAGAATTGCATCCAGTTCGCTTGGTGTGAATATCTAATGCTTTGGCCAATTTAAACCTTATTTACATTAGCTTAGTTTAAATTTGGTGTTTAAAGAGCTGTAATTGTCTGTCTACTTTAGAAATTCATAGTGACTTAGTGAGATCAATTTTAAACTGATTTTAATTAAACCAGAGAACCTTTTTTGTTTTTACAGATGAGGTCTGTGACAGGCCTTTTAAAATGGCCATGGAGTATATGCAGCCTTAGAATGACTCTTATGCATGACTGATTTCTTCTGCTGAAGTCAAATTTAGGCTATTGTTTTGTATATAAACCAAAATAATTAAATTTTGAAGAACATTCTGTTCAGTTTTTCTTCCCTTGCTCCGAGAGTGATTCCTGTTTGTTAAGACTTCTATTAAATTACTCCCAGAACAGCATTTCGCTGTCTTTTTATAGTAGACAGGCTGATGGACTCCATGACCTTTTTTACTTCTGATTTCTGTGATGCTTCTTTTCCTCAGACAAGAGAGAATATAAGAGACTGCTGGGATATTCTAATTTATGGTGATAGGAAGCAGAATACAGAGGCTTAACTGCAGTCCCATGGTGAGATGTGCCACTATTCTAGTATATGGAAAATGTATAAATCGCTTTTGTTGGAGGTTATTTGGAGAGAATGTAATGAATGTTGGGGAAATTCTCCTGGGAAGTTTCAGTTCTAATGCTTAAATTCTTGTATAGGATGTTGTCATAGTGAGGTGTGTGTTTGGAGCTGCTGAGGAGTTTAGATTATGTGCATATCCATCAATGTAAAAGCTGACAAAGGATTGTGATTAGGGTGGAATGGTAAATGTAAAAAAAAAATCAGAAACTTGTGTTTTTGTAAGGGCTCTGTGTGGGTGACATGAATATTTCTAACACCCAATTGATTCTGTTTCTGTGAGTAGAGGGCAGCTAGTAGAGGGCATAATTCAGGATAGCCATCAGATCCCCTTGAAGAGTGATTCTGGCAAATAGGTGCAGTCAATATCTTTTTGTGTTACAAAGTGGGTGATAGTGCAGAGCTTGTATTCCCATTGATTCCCATTGTGCGGGACAGAAAAATGAAATGCTTTTTAACTAGCAGTAAATCCATGAGAGAATGAAAGTAGTCATCATGTAATCTTTTACCAATAATGCATATATAAAAATATACAGAAAACACAGACGTTGCGTTCTGATCTCCCACTTTTAATGTTTACTGTGATATTTTTGTCTTGTTTGGATGGGGTTTTTTGTTTGTTTTCCTATCTCTGCAAACTGCAAATTTATCTTTTCATCTGTGTAAGTAAGGTATGTGTAAGGAAATCAAGTTACTGAGCATCATTAAGAGCATGCTTCTTAATGATATTAATACTTTAGTAATGCTACAAACTAATAGTTTTCTAGGATTGGTGATTCTTCATGCAAAGCTTTTCCTATAACTACATTTTGGACAGTAGGTAGTATCATAAATCTAAATGACAACTTGTACAGTGTCTCATTACATGGACATCTGCAACCACTGGGTGTAACATTTGTATCTGTTATGGCAGCTGAGCCATTTGCTACTCATAGTGTTGAAACATGGGTATGAACACAAGAAACGGAACAAAAATCTCTTTGTGATCATGGTTCTCACATTTTGGTTGCAGATTCAGTCCTATCTTAGATGTGCTTGTAAGCCTGAAATCAGTTTGGATCAGAGAAACTTAAACCAAGTTTCTGCTTCAGTGTGCTGTTAAGCAAGTTGAGAATGGAAAAGCAGAGTGATATTGTGAACAGGGAAGATGATGTGACAGATTGTACCCAGGTTTGTGTCTTAATGGAGGAGCTTGTTAGGGAGCTCACTTAAAAAACAGGTGCCAACTCTTTAGAAGGTGAATGAATACATGCAGTGTTCTCTATCTGCAGTATGGTCAGTGTCTGTGCTTTGTTGAAATGGAAAACGATACACTGCTTGAAATTTCAGAAACGACTATTTTCAGATGCCAGACTGTGTTAAGCCTGGAAAAGTGCAGAAACACTGACTGACTTTTTCTCCCCTCCCAGGTGATCCCCAGCAGTTGATGCCGGCGGGCTCTCTCCGTAGAAAGAAGCTGGCCAAAAGGCCTGGCTACATGAGGCCAGAGGCTCAGCAGCAGATCGAGTTCCAGTCCCCAGGTGCCTGTGCAGCGTCCAGCCCAGCAGAGCTCCCGCACGCCAGGCAGCACTGTGGAGGCTCTGAGGGATCTGCTCTGCTCAGACAGTGCCAAAATGACCTGGAATTCCTGCACTGTGGTGCTGTAGCTCCTGCTAATGGGGTGACAACCTTGGCCACTACTGGAAGCACTCCAGGATGCTGTGAAAATCTTTCTTGCTGCACTAGTCCACAGTCAGACACCACACGGATAGGGGTCTGCCCTGCTGCCACAACAGGCAGAGGAGATGTTTCTGCTGTGTGCTCTACGTGGCAGAAAAGCTGCAGCACCAAAGTGAGCAAGCCCCCAAACATGTATGCTTTGGATCAGACAGAAATGAATAACAACTGTGAATATCAAAACAGAGATGGTATTTCTCATTCTGCTGGTGCACAGGATAGCTTTAGATCAAGTTTCAGTTTCATACAGCTCTCCCTGAACTCGGCCTCTGGAGTAAATGATGTGGAAGGCAAATCTATTGAGGAAACTGAGATCGTTCTGCATCCCAAAACCACAGGCAATCTGCAGAAGCTAGAAGAGATGGCACATGGGCACTTGGGAGATTTGTGTTGCTCCTCCAGTTCTGGTGAAGATATGCAGCATGAACGTGAGAGCCCAGTAAATGATAAATTACAGGACTGTGAGACTGTCTCTCTCTTGGATATAGACACAACATTTTCATATTCTACAGATTCCTCGGATGCAGCATCTGCAGGCTCTTCTGTCACCTCAGGCTATGAAAGCAGCTTTACTGTCAGTGACCATAACTGGGATACTTTGATGAAAAAATATGAACCAGTGCTACAGGATTGCTTGCTTGGCAACCGCAGTACGTTAAAGGTCAGTAATCTCACTTTGTTTTTGATACCTTGTCCTCAAAACATTTTATCTGTAGTGCCAAAATCAAAGTTTATTTAGGAGTTCAGATACTACTGGCTTTTGTGGCCTTTGTTCAGAGTTTTGCAGTAGACCTCTGCATGTTAAAAATGAGATAACAGGATTTTTTTGGTCCTTTAAAAATAGGTGATATTTTTGCAGTACCCTATTCTATGTTCTACTGAAACTTTAATCCTCTCATTTCCAACATCACACATCAGTTTCTGACTTCAGTAAGTACCATTTCTTTTCACAGGTGGCTGTTTTGTCTGCAGTTTGGGTTATACGTAGTATAAAATTAGGAGGTGGTAAGAACTCTTTTCTTGAAGTTTCATGATTTAACAACACCAAACTTTTTAATTGGAAATGTTGAAGTTGAGCCAAAGACTTCTAAGAATTAAGTAATTTTGTGAAAGTAGTGTGTAATCTCATAGGTGCTCTCCCTATGTGATGTGATGAAAATTGGGAGTCAAGTCCCTCTCTGCCTCCAGCTGGGAACTGAATTTTTTTTCTTTTCCCCTTCTACCCTAGGGGAGTAGTGGGCTGGTGAGTCGGGAGTCTTTCTGCATATATGTATGTTCCCACATTTATACCTACAATGTATACAGGCAGTGTCATTGACTGTGCTCTTTATAGGACAGGGGTGGGGAAACTTTAGGAAGGATCAGCTGTGTTATATTATTATGATGGTAGGGTGAGCATTCTGAGCTTACCCGGTTAAAGGAGCCAAATGTTGGCTTTACTGCGCAGACAGGAAACATTAATCTAGAAATTATTATGGACACAATGGATTGCACTAATGTGTTCAAGGTGCACTGAGTGGATAGTGGGGATTTTTTTTTTTTTTTGGTAGAGTTGTTTGGGTTGGTTTTTGTTTTGTTGTTGTTTTTTTTTTTTTATATTTTATTTTGTCTCACTAGTGCCCAAGTTTCTTGGGTGCCTTTCAGAAGCTCAGATCTTTTTAACTTCTCAGCTCAGACACCTACCTGGTGAGATGTGCTGTGTTGTCTTTGGGCCTAATGAAACAACTCTTTCTGGGGAGACTTTGCACAAACCTCCTCTCTGGGCAAGACAGAAAGCTGAGAAACATTTATTCTTTCCTTGCTTGCCATGACATCTGACCTGACCTTACAGTGTTCCATAGTACTTTATTTTCATAGATTATATGTGTAGAACTCAAACTAGGTTCTCTTATTTACAGACTTCACACACAGTTACATGGAGCAGTTTCTTTGGTTTCATGCCTGGAATTGTAATGTGCCTATAGTCTGAGATGGTTTGGGAATTAATTCGCTGCAAATTTGGGAACGTATAATGCAATCAAAATAGGAAATTATTTTCCTTTCTTTTCAGTATTGCTTATTTGATAGGCACAAAAGAAACATTGCTATCTTTAATTTCTGTATTCATTAATACATTGAATGGAGAACTGGGGATTTGTGCCCTCAGATGTCTTTGCCCTTGGTTAGCCAGTCTTGTATGTTTAATTTGAAGCACCTTCCTATTGTAATGATAATGAGTAAAGTCTCAAAGTTTTCAGAAAGGAACGAAGGCAACAGTAGTCAAGAAAAGGAGACAATGCCAAAGTTGTTAAAGTTATGCTTTCTCTGTACTTAAAAGGTGATCTTCATCTGGTACACATCTAGGAATGCCACTCTGAAGCACAAGCAGGTCTCTGATTAGCTGAGCTCCCAACGTCCCCCAGCCTGCAAATAGAAAGCACTTTACCGTGCAGCATCAGTCAGTTTGCCTGGGCTGTGGTACCCAGGCTGACTTTAAATGACCTGCCACTGTAGGGCATGATGGAATAAACACTGCCAGCAGCAGCAAAGCTGTTCTCTCAGTATAGGTCGTTGTTATACATCATGGATATGAAAAAAGTGTCACTTGAATCATTCCTACTGCAAGCTTCTTTAAAACTCTATAAAAAGTCGGGCATAAAACACAGAAAATAATTTATGGTGAGGGTTCAGAGCTCCTCCCTTCAGTACCATTTACCTTCCTCACTAGCCTCAGAGAATAAAGATTGGAGTTTTGGGAAGTGAAAATTGAAATAAAGTAAAGCACAGAAGAAATGGGAATGTGTGCAATGTTTTTTGTTTGTTTTTCTTCTGGAGCATCCTGTAGCGTATTATTAATCAAACATTTTGGATACTCTCCTGACTTTATATTTTATAGTTTGTTTCTTACCAGTCCACTTTCACATATCATATTTAAAGGGAAATCTTGAATTTAATGGTTTGTGTGTTGATTGTCTAATTTATGTGTTGATGTGTAGTCTTGATAACTGAATGCTTCTATTAACTTGTTGACTGGCTGTACCTGTTTTTCTAAATATGAGGATTAAATATGAAAGAGCTTCAGGGAGAAGGGAAATATTTTTTAAGATTTCTTAAGGATATCTAAACTATGGGTTTTTGTGCTCTCCCAGGCACTTTCAGGCTTTGGACTTTGAGAATATACACTGCCTCTTTTTCCAGGCTCACCTTTTTCAGGGCTGATAGTGGCTTGTTTGGTACAGATCATGCAGAAATTTAATAAGAAACACATTCCAGTCTTGTAACTGCAGCTGTGGCTGTCATGGTAGTGAGGAGAGGACTAAACCTTCTAACCAATTTCTTTTAACATCAAAAACTTGTAAAGGCCTTACAAATTTTTAGTGAATTTAGAACTTTGGTCCAGACTCTTGATGTTAACAAAGAGAAGCATTAACTTTTGGAATTAAACTTTAATATGGTAAGTTTCTTTTGGAATGTGAGAGGGTACTTTGTATGTGGTTTGGGTATTCTTGGTGTTCTGCTTTTTTTTCTCATCTAGCATTTGCATTGTGAAAATGCAAATATCAACATTATGTAGATAAGTCTAAATTGTGTTTTAAGGAAACTTTTTTGGCTGCAGATTAACATTCTTTTCTTACCCATAACATCAATATACCTGTTCCAAAGTACTCATACTGCATTTCTGTTTACAGAACAAAATGTAGTTTGCATATGGAAATTTTATATTTGTTTTCTGCAAAACTCAGGTAAAAAATTGTCAGAATGAGCTTGGGAACACACTGTTGAGTACAATGTGATCAGAAGTAGATGTCATGCTGACAGAATTCTCTAATAATCATACTTTCATTTATTCAAAGGGTGAAAAATATCCTACGATCGCACGATCTCCTTTGCTTTTAAAGAAATATAATTTGTTGTTCTCTGTGTGTGTTTGGACTAAAGCCATGCTTGGCTCAAGTAGCTGCAGTTCAGCTGACTTCCAATTAGGTCTGTCTATTTAACAAATGCTGGGATTAACTATCAACATTTGGCCATTGTAGTGATGTAGTAATCCATTAAATTTATATTGTGTAAAAGTTAGTAGTCTATATATTTTTAAATGCAGCTTCTCCTTAACTAACTTTTTCTCTTCGAATAGTTAAAGTCCTTGATCTTACGGCTTCAGAGGCTTCAGGAAAAAGCAATAGAGGAAGATGACTATGATAGAGGTGAGAATTGCTCCTCCCTACTCCCCGCTGGATCATGCTGCTTTTTTTTTTTTCCTTTCCCTCTTCCTCTATTAGTTTTATTTTATATTTCCTACATAGCAGTGACTAGGTGTGGAAAACGAGTTCAATGAACTGTATTGTTTATTCTGTCATATGGCAGGAAACAAAGTAGGTCAGCAGCAGGTAGCAACAGTTTTTATTTTCTTGAGCCACATCACCATGTGGCAAGGTTGAAATCCAAATACCCACCACCTGGATCAGCTGTTTTGAAGCAGCATGACTGAAAAAAATGCAGAAATGAATGGAAGCTTCAAAAGGAGAAAAGGCAGGCACTGGCTGCTGACAGAGTGAGATTTGCTGCTTGCCACATTTAGTCATGACACTACAGCAGGGCTCATAGAAATAAGGTCAGTAGCTATTACAGAAGTGAATGATACTGTCCTGTGGGATGAAGTTGATGTCCACTGAGTTCAATCAAATTCAGCTAGACAATATGGTGGTGATGCAGCTGCTGGCAAATATCTATCTTTGAATAATGCTTTTTCTTTCAAATGCCTTGGTACTTCTGATAAGTTTTGTGTGTGCACATTAATAATTAGAGCATCTGTTAACAAAATGTTTGATTTCTTACTGTTCCTTGTTGTGGTAGTCTGTGTTCAGGTACTCACATTTTGAAAATCTTGAGGTTCTAAGGTAAATTCTTCCTGCTAGGTCTATCTTCAGCTGTAAGAGACTGTAAGCATTTCACTGAAATCTGCATGGGTGCTTCAGAGAACAAGTGTGGAAAAAGGCAGCTTCTTTCATCCTACTTTAATATTCTTGGCTTTTAGGAACTGGGCAGTGGTCAGACTTGTGGTTTGTCTCTCCAAATTACTGTGTGATGCTTTGCAGTTGTACCATGACTGTTTTCCTGCCCCCTAAGATGTCCCCAAGATGAAAATCTGGTGTCTAGGGGGTAGATGTGTAGCACTTTTGCAAGAGTGGTTCTGTTGGCCTCTTAAAGGTCTGCCTGTGTGTAGGAGAAGAGTCTGCTACTGCCACAAGTCATTCTTTTAGTGTGGCATCTCCTGATGAAGAAAACCCTTAGTTGTGTTAAAATCTGAGGATGTAGTAGATATTTATGAGTTTAGTCTCTGTCAAATAGACATTATTAATGTGTGTGCTTTACATGTGTAACACTCATAACTCTTCTTTCTTAAGTTCCTGTGGGTTGAGCTCACAGTTGGAGACTTCCCAACAGCTGTGTACTCAGTGTGCATGGTTACCACAGATTCCAGCTGGGATTCTCTAGGCAGTCAGCCAGTCTGACAGCAGTTTCAGTGTATCAGGTGTGACATCTCCATATGATGCCATATAGTGTTGACCTCAGGGAAAAATGATGACTTAGGTTGAATCTCACACAGAAACCTCTTGTGTAGTTTCCTGGGCACTAGTCTTGTATCCTTAAAACAGGACCAGTTGTCTGTTGTCCATCACTTCCCTCTTTTATCCTTTTCAGTTCCACCCTAGTTATCAAGCAGGATTAGCACACCTAGTTGCATTAATTCCCCTCAGGTAAGTGGTCTGACTGGAATGTTATTTCACCAGATGTTGTGGGCACAGAGAGAAAAAATGATAAGGAGAATCCACAGGTGAGATTACTGTTTTCTGTGCTGTCTGGCATACACAGGCAGAAAACATTTGTTCTGGTAGGGGACTGGACACTGAGGTGCTTGAGAGACTTGAACTTGAGTTCTTCCATCTCTTTGAAAACTAGGTACTGTTGTGCTCAGAAGATTACATGCTTCATGCGTGCATGCAACCAGGCATCCTAGACTTTATCAATTCCTAGCTTTTGAGTCCTTGACCGGTTTTCTGTCTTACTGGTCTTTGTTCTATTTCTGATACAAATATCAACTGGGTTTTTTTGTTGGGTTTGTTTTTTTTTTTGGTGACTACTTTTCATTATTTTCATGGAAGCTGAACTGGCTCCCTTAGACTGCCTGTGTTTCACAAAAGGAAAACTATCTTCAAGATAAGACTTGCATGGAGAAGGTGTAGTGCTGCAAGGAGAATCAGAGCTGTGACCTTCCTTCCTCACCTTGCAGTGGCAAAGCTTTTCACCTTTGCTTTTAGAGCTACGCTGCTGCTCCTGGTGGAGAACAAAGGCTTCCCTGGCTGAAGTTTGAGAGCTTGTTAAATAGCTCACAGATTGGCCCTGTACCAATTTCTGTTCAAGTGAAATCTGTAATTAGCCTTCTTTAAATGGGTCTTATTGCCAAATATTGCTAGCAGGGAATGGAATTGCTAAATGTGCAGAGCTGTGATGTGGGGCATACATGGCGGTGTATTGTCAGGGAGTGGGAGCAATGAACCTGGTGCATGGGGGGGGCTGAGGACAATTTAACTGTAATGCTAGAGAGAAAATTACTGATCCTGTAATTTGTGGAGTGACTCTGAGTATAGAGTGAGTCCTCTGCTAAGAGCAGAAGTGTTTTGAATCAGAGATGATGATAGTGTTGTGTGTGGTGCCCACACAGGTCTTGCTCATGTGGAGGTGCTGCAGGGGAAGGATAGACCTCGTGTGATGGGAATAGCTGTGAAATGCCCTGGACGTGGAAGAGGTGAATAGAGAGGAGGGAGAGCAGGTGGAGGAGGGGTATGTGTGGCTAGACTCCCAAGGGAATTGTTAAACTGCCAGTAAATACATTATAATGTCTTACTACTGCATTGGTGCTAGAGTCTTGTCTCCAGCTTCAGCCATTATCAAGATCTTAACTCCAGAGATTTTCTGACTCCAGCTCTTTAAGAGCCATCTAGTCTTGAGGGAAGGCCTCTTGGTGGAAGGGAGATGTGTTAGCACTTAAAACTCCTCTTAGTGCTCAGAACTGTTTTCTGCTGTCTGACACTTCCAACTTCACACCTTAAGGAGAGACAAGCATCACAGGTTTGGCATTGTTGCTTTCCTGCTCTACAGAGCTTTTTGAAAGCTCCTGTAGTTTAAGGTAATCATTGAAGCTGAATTATAAGTAAAGTAGTGTCTCTAGAGGAAGGGAAAAGGGATGCACCGTGTGTTCAGTTGTGGCAACAAGACTAGGAAATGACATAGAAATAAAGGCCAGCTTATCCTGCAAAGCCATGGACAAATACCTTGTTGCAAACAGCTCAGGAATAAGGGTACATTTGTTTTTCCACCTTGCAGAAACACAGGAGAAATGCATGCTGCTTGAGCTGTTAGAGAGCATGGTGTCTTCCAGGTTAATGTTAATGCATTAGCATTTATTTACTGAATGAGGGAAGTTTATTTAGGGCAGCCACAGCCCTCCATTGTTGTTTAAGGAGCAAGGCAATACCTGCTTTGGTCTTCAGCTTGTTTCTTTCTAGTTTTTCAGTTCTTTAGGTAAATCTAAAGATTTATCTGAATTTTTGTCTTTGTTTTCCTCCTCCCCTTGAGCTTGAGAGGTGCACAGCAGAAGTGACTCTTGCTATTGAATGGTTACCTTTGCTGTGCCTCTGCAAGACCTGCCTTGGCATGGTTAGGGTGTTGGTGTAGAGGAGCTTCAATCAGGCATTCAGAGAATGCATTTTGTCCTACTCTTTCTGGCAGTGCTGAGTGTGCAGGGTGGGGAATGTGTTTGTTCCAAGAGCGTTGGGGGCTGCTCGGGGTGCAGGCCTCCCCCATGTCCCTCATTGGTGCTCATTTTCTGCAGGTCACAGTGCTGTGAAACCTGCAGGGTGTTCTCTCTTAGTGCTGTAGCTGTCAGGGGTTCTTTCAAATGCAGATATTCCTCGGCTGTGAAATGGTTGTGTGAAATGCATATTCAGTGAGACAAATATCCTCAGTCCCAGTATAATTTTAAAGAGGAACCCTTGGGATGTTATGTGTTTTATTGCTCTTGCTTCTTTTTAGGTGCTGAAATATTGGGAAATAAGTGATTTTTTTTTTTCTGTATTTACTTGTGGTCTCCTCTTGATGGCCACATTACTGTATATTTCCAAAACAGGTGGTGTACCATGGGAATATAAGCATTTTGCCTTGCATAGCATATAGGAGAAATTGGTCTGTTCTCCAAGGATCACTTGGAGTGTTGTCATGGCTCATTATTCATGATGGAGCTTGACAGCTCCAAGGTTAAACACACTGCTGAATACAGGAGGAAAAAAAAAAGACTGTGTATTTTGTGTCTGTGGGAGTTGTGCTTGCAGTAGGAGTGAGTGCATTTTGCTCAGTACAAATCTATTGCCCAAATATTTGAAAATCTTTTTCCTGTTCTTTGCTGCTTGTTCTTCTCAACCTTGCCTGGTGCAAGAGGCAAGTGGAGTGGTAACTGTCAGGACTGAGTCTTGCTGCTGAACTCCACTACTGGCTCACACGCCATCTTGTTTCTGAGCAAAATGTTTCTGCAGAACGAATGATTCTTTTAAATTATGATAATTATTTTTAAAAGAAATTACTTCTTTGCAGATGCCTTGCTTGCAACTGGTCAGGAATGCTAATTCCCCCATGCAATTCAGAGTTAGGGTTCTTCAGTGAAGGTCATTGGGCAGATCAGAGCAACTCCTCATCGGTCCAACATGACAGAAAGAACACAAACATTTATGCCTGTGGTGGCGAAATCTATCCTATCTCAGCAAGAAGGATTCATGCTGTAGATACATTTAATGTCATGTAAGCCTTCAGTTATTTTAGGTGAGCTCGCAAAGGATGAGCTGTGTGAATTGGTGAGCTGCCATTCACTTGTGCACTGTGTGCTCTGCAGAAAAATAATCTCTGCATGTTTTTTCTTTTTATTTTTTTGCTCTTTGCTTGTGTTCTTTAAGACCTCTTAATACCAATTGTCTTTTCCATATCTCAGGATCTGCCGGGCATCAAGGACACCCTCTGGTATGTGTAGGAGTTTGAGTCTAATTTTGCACATTTTCCCTTAAGCACAAGACTAGGAAGGGAAAGGAAAGACTATGTAGCTGTTAGTCTCCTGTAGGTTTACATTATAAGAGGTGCTGTTGCTCACTTGAACCAACTATTTGTTTTAAGGCAACTGCAGAG